GCAGTCTTACTCACCAGTTGCCTATACTGGGCTGTGAAAGCCCCGTAATAAGCCACGCAGGCTGCTGCTATGAACACATTGCCGACGATGTTCTCTATCTCATCCTGGAATCTCTCAATGCTTTCTTCCCACCGAACCTGCTCGTCCCCCAGGGCAGCCGTCAGCTTTCCAGCACGCACCAGGCGCGCTTTGGTCAGGGCCATGTTCTTGGCTGGACAGTTTTGAGAACATCGGGTCACGTTAGTCAATGTTTTTCAAATGATTAAACGTTGATGGATTTGCTTTGGTTTCCAAAGGAGCTAGGGTTACGTGGCTAATGATGTCAGCTCATCTTTACAGAAGCTCACACCAGTTCCTCGTGTGTGTGCATTTCAGAGCCAAGTCTAGCCTCTTCCGTGCCAAGAGTTTCTTGTGTGCTCCCAACTCTGCCTGAAGACAATGCTCTCTCTCTGTGGTCTGTGGTATTTATTGTCTAGACCAAAGTCACGGGTTCTTACGAGTTATAACATAAATGCTCTAACAAGCCTTTTTGTATGTAAGAGGGTGGATTCATACAGTGTCTGCGTCCTTCTCATCTGGTACTAGAAAGCTCAGGAGAGAAGGACGATGAAAGCATACCCTACAGGTTGGGTTAAAGCTGAGATCTGGGCGCTGGAGAGATGCCCAGTAGATGAGAATGCTCACTGCTCTCTTACAAAGGACCCGAGTGTGGTTCCCAGCACCTGTGTGAGATGGCTCACAACGCTGGCTTTGGGGCGTCTGATGCCCTCTTCTGGCTCCTGCAGGCATTGCACTCATGTGCTTATACCCCCACCCCACCCCCTACCATATGAACATAATTGTAAATAAAATGAGGTCTTTCGAAAGCTGTGATCTGACTCTCTGGAAACTCTTCCTCCTTTGGAAAACCAGGCCTTCCCTGTCTAAAACAAGTCACGTGTCTCTTACCCAGACTCTCTTTCTCATTCACGCCTCTGTCGTACTCATCTTGCAAGGTCTTTATTTGATCTTCCACCTGTCTCAGCAATGCTTGCTTCTCTTTCAGGGTGGCCATTGTGATGTCAAGTTCAGCCTAATGGAAGCAAGTAAGCAAATGGGTCTCACAGAGACGGACTTGCCTATATGCAAAATTGATGTGAAATATGATTTATGTTCCTTTTTACATGTCCCCAAAGACTTCCATCTTGCATAGCTTGGGCTAGGGATGTAGCTTGGTTGGTAGGATACTTGTGGAGTGTGTGTGAAGCCCTAGGTTCAATCCCTAGTGCTGTATAAAACCAGGCATGGTGGTGCATACCTATAATCCCATCACCTGGGAGGTAGAGGCAAGGGGGTCAGAAATCCAGATAGCAAGTTTAAGGCAGCCTAGGCTACATGAGCTCCCTTCCTCTCTTTAAAGTAGAATGTGAGACCATAATCAAACAAACAAACAAACAAACAAACAAAACAGTGGCCAAGAAAACAAATCACAGAATGCATAGAGCAAAAGATGTAGTAGTTCCTATAATGGATGATGATTTTAAATTATAAAACAAATTGAATATTCATGTATGATGGAGACTAATATTTCCTAACGAGTTCTCTGTATCAGAAGTCTACCCGCTAAGACCCGCAGGCCACAACTAGCCTATTGCTTATTTTCAAAAATTTTTATTAGCATCTATGAGCTATACATAATAGGCTTCACTATGACATTTTCCTATATGTTTATAATGTATATTTGTCACACTCACTCCCTATTGCCCTCTCTTGTACCCTCCCCACTCTTCCCAGTTCTCTTTCCAGCTAGTCTCCCTTCCTCTTCCATGCCTCTTGTTTTTAACCACTGGATGAGTTTCATCAGGGTTGCATACAGGACCATGGGCGCCATGCCAGCAGAGGGCAAGCACTTCTCCCTCCCCCAGCAATGGTGAACTGCTGTTTGTGTCTGTCCATGCTGTGAGCTGAACTAGGACTTCTTCTTTCTCCCCGTCCCCCACCCCCACACTTCTTGGTTCTTTTTCTTCAGTGTGCTGAGGACTTAACTCAGAGCCTCGGGTGTGGAAGGCAAGATTCTCACTGAGTCACATCCTATTCTCAGCCTCTAAGAATGGTTTTCATAATGTGTAACACTAGGAAAAAAGAAATCAAAAGTGCAGTTTGTGGCACGATACGTGTGTGACATCGAATGACAGTGTCCATCACAAAGTGATGCTGGAGCCTTCCCATGCTTGCTGGTGCACGCATTGTTTATGGATTGGCTGGTTCTGCGGGGGTAATCACAGTGCTAGAGCAGTATTTACTGTCTAGATGTGGCGAGAAAAGTTTTGCTCAGCCCTGCTCGATACCCACAGCTCTGGTAACTGGCTCCACATGCAGGTCATTCTTTGTTCTTCCTGGGAAGACTGAGGACCTCATGTCTGATTGTGGGTTCAGTGCTTCTCACACCTGAGATGACACCACCAGGTGTGGGAATGCAAACCATTCACACAAGAGACTACCAGAAACTTCACAAGTGTCACAGACGTATTGCCTGTTCCCCTGATATTAAGGAGATGAATCTACTCAAGATTCACTTTCTTCTTATTCGACAAAAGGCTGACTTCAGAGAAAATTTCTGAGGGAAAAAACCTGCCTGTTATTTTTAAAAACGAGCTACTTTCAGCCTGCAATCACTATCACATTGTACACCAGAGGATCACAGTGGCCTCCCACAGAGTGTGAGTGACGACTGGTCATGACCTTCTAGTCTATAAAATACCACAGTTTGGATAATGTACCTGGGCAGCTCGGAGTTTCTGTCTCTTTGGTTCGACTTCCTTGACCACCCGAGAATACAGATCCATGGCTCTCACCCACATGCACATGGATTTACAGGCTTTGGACACCTTTTCCACCTTCTCAGGCACGAAGTCAGGATTGTTGATGTACCTTTGAAGCTTTGTCAGTATCTGAGGCTTTATGTTCTCCTTATCATACTCTAGAAGCCTTCTTAGGAAGTTAGAATCACCAAGAAGTTGCTTTGCTGTTGGCCAGTCGGGCCTGAAAGACAGACCGTGGTGAGTTGATGGCGCCGCCGTCAAGCAATGGGAGAATGCCAAGAAGAACTCCTGGGAGAATATCATAACATTACCCCACGAGGTGGGGAGTTTTAACCTCGGCACCGTAATTCTGGTAATGGCCCAACTAATTCATGGGGAGAGAGGCAACTGGATGATTAAATCTCTATGGCTTAGATTCAGTAGATAATGGAATATAAAACAAGAGTTTTAGAAATGTAAGATATCAAAGAAAGAGTAGTTTTAAAAAAGATTTATTTTATTATTTATTTATTTTTTTCCAAAAGCAGTGTTTAGTTTTACTTTTAAAATGGGGAAGCCATGCATTTTAAAAGTAAATATAGGTGAATCAGGTATAATTTGAACCTAATAAACCATGCATGAGCCAAGAGCTAATTAAACCAATGTGTTTTGAATTCATTCAGGTACTGATAATTCTGTATAAAGATTTAGTATATATCAGCTATCATAAGTTGTGGAAAAAAATTCAACTCCCAAATAAAAATATAGAGTTAAAATACATAGTGGTTAGTATTTCATGCAGCATAAAATCTGGTAAATCAGAAGTTTACATGTCCCAGCTCACCATATGTGAAAATGCAAAGCAGATATTAAAACCAGTATTGTGCCTAATCTTTAAAACCGGCTTGTAATTGAGGGAACATCTAAAGTCCTTAATTAAAAAACACAAATGAAGTGAAAGCTTTAAACTGGTACACACTGTTCACACCTATATTTCAAGTTTGGAAATGCATATTTGCAAGCAGCAATACAAAAGTATTCATGAAGAATGCATAATCTCTGAAAATTATGAAAACATCCCTGCTACCAATACATTTCTAAATACAAAACCGACTAACATATTTGTTACTTCTGTGTAGCTAGAGAAGTTCATTTTCAAAACAGATAAACTTCTGTCTTTAGGTGTGAATGTTATGAAGGACAGTCTTTTTTAAAAATTCTTAGTTGTTTGGGATCCTTAAGCATGCAGAAGCTTTGAACAGGAGGGTCCACAAAGGAACCAGTGTTGTATTATGGCATCCAGTTAGGCCAGAGCTGGGAATACCTCTGGGTCATCTACATCAGGAGCAGAAGCACTTGACTTATCAGTCCTGCTGCCACAGTTTGGACGGCCACCATGTCCTGGGCAGCCTAGGTCTCCAAAAGTGATCTCCAATTGAGACGTTATATCATTTGCTGGCTTTTCTGGAAATGATGGTCCATAAAATCTTCAGCAAGAGCCTCTTCACTTTTGATTTATGCAGAACAAATCCCTTTTTCCATTGTCCATCAGCACCTTCATTTGTTTTTCGGATATTAAATTCTACTTTCGCTTGGTCTTTATTTTGAATAGCTTTCCACTCATCCAAAGTCATCTCTTTTGGACCCTCTTCCTTAACATCTTCTTTTTCTTTTTTTCTTTTATAATTTATTTAATTTTACATATCAGCCACGGATTCCTGTCCTCCCTCCTCCCACCCCACAGCCTTACCCCCCAATACTCCCCCAATTCTCACCTCCTCCAAGGCAAGGTCTCCCCTGGGGATTCAGCTCAGCCTGGTAGATTCAGTTGAGACAGGTCCAGTCCCCTCCTCCCTACACCAAGGCTGAGCAAAGTGTCCCTGCATAGGCCCTAGGTTCCAAAAAGCCAGCTCATGCACTAAGGACAGGTCCTGGTCCCACTGCCTGGGGGCCTCCTAAATAGTTCAAGCTAATCAACTATCTCACTTATCCAGAGGGCCTGATCCAGTTCCGTGGGGGCTCCTCAGCTCTTGGTTCACAGTTCATGTGTTTTCATTCATATGGCTATTTGTCCCTGTGCTTTTTCCAATCATGGTCTCAATATCTCTTGCTCATATAATCCCTCCTCTCTCTCGCCGATTGGACTCCTGGAGCTCCACCTGAGACTTGGCCGTGGATCTCTGCATCTGCTTCCATCAGTCATTGGATGAGAGTTCTAGCATGACAGTTAGGGTGTTCGGCCATCAGATCACCAGAGTAGGTCAGTTCGGGCTTTCTCTCGATTCTTGCCAGTAGTCTATTGTGGAGGTATCTTTGTGGACTTCTGGAGACCTCTCTAGCACTCTGCTTCTTCCTATTCCCATGGGGTCTTCGTTTATCATGGTTTCTCTTTCCTTGTCCTCCCACTCTGTTCCTGATCCAGCTGGGATCTCCCACTCCCCTAAGCTCTCTTTCCCTCAACCCTTGCCCTCCATTACCCCCTCCCTCACATCCAGTTTGCTCATGTAGATCTCATCTATTTCTCTGTCATTGGGCGATCCCTGTGTCTTCAACTTCATTCTCCTTATTTTCAGTGTCTGCCACTGGGTGCTCTCCACCTTCAGGTGTTTCCTCAGTCACATTTGATTGATCCAAATCACTGCAACTATGAGATATTTGTTTCTGGGTGTATTTGGGAGACTCTGTTAATTCATCTTTGACAGTTCCCCAGTTGTGAGATCCGCTACCTCCATGTTTGTCCTCATACTTCAGGCCAGATCTATCACTTCCACTATGCCTATCAAATTCACGTCTGCCACGGGAATTGAATCCATCTCCTCGGCCCATTCCACGTTCATGGCCTCCTGGACCCCTTCCAAGACCACCTCGGCCTCAGATAGGCCATTCAATAATTGGTCTATCAACTGGAAATTCACCACCTTCAGAACCCTTTTCTTCAAGTGGCTTTTCAAATCTTCTTTACCGAGGTGGTTGCCTTTCTGTTCTCCTATCAATTATTTTCCCTTCTCCTGGATATGATAAGATAAAAAGGGAGATTACTAAATCTACTTTTAAAAAGGAACTACTTGTTTTAAATGGGATAAGTAATGAAAATTTTCTATCTGGATTTGTCAAATGTTAATGGACTGGACATTGTTATATATTAATGGAGTTTTTTGTCTGAATCTGTCAAATGTAAATGGACTAGACATTGTTAATGTAATTCTTGACTGTATATATTGTATAAACTAATTGGATATAGTTTTTCTTGTATTAGTTACAAGCTTTTTTAA